GGGAGGGAGTAATCATTGTAGCACTCCTTAAATTTGAAAATCAGAAAATGGACTTTAAATAAAGACGGAAGTCTACCTACTGAAGTTTCTTTAGCAATGGGAACCACTTCCTTTCGAGTTTAACTTGACATCCAAGTAAGAAAGCCCATTTTTTGCAATCGAATTCCAATAACCAGCCTTAAAATGATGGGATGTGCAATGGATTTACCTCCGCAACGTATACTCATACGACAAAAAAGGCTAAAACTCGGCAACGTATATTCATACGGCAAAAAAGTCTATTAAACGGCAGTTGACTTCTGACTTCAAACTACCATCACCCCACTCTACGTCCGGCAGTTGACTTCTCACTTCAAACTACCATCACCCCACTATATGTCACAGTCCACCACTTCCACAGTACTCACCTTACCTTTTACACCTGTAAACCACTCCTCTATTTCCCCCGTCTCCCCGTGTTCCTCCCCCCTGTGAAGCCCGAAGTCAGCTAAAGGGCTAATGATAAGTAACATTTGATATAAATAATAATAATAATACCTTAAAATGATCAATAGGCACCAGCGGAAGGATTAAGCCAAGGCCTACGAAACAAACGTTTCCACCAAATAACTCCACACTTCCTTTATCTACTGGAGTTGTCAAAATCATCAAGCGCAAATTCGAGCTAAAATCCGCAATTGCATTGAGCAAAGAGAAGATTGACTGCAACTCCTCTACTCTCTTCTCCTCCACAGGCATGAAGGAGTCTGTCGCAGCATCTGGAGAAAACAAAAAACACATGGTAAAGCGGAGTACTTCACACACACACCTACCGAAATGTGACATTCTGTATTGATAGCAGAGAAGAAGAGTGAGCATAACGAATTGTATGGCTGCTGTACAGGGTTGGGGGAGAGTAATATCGAGCCCACCAACAATCTGATGAAAAAGAGACAATTCTTCAGAGGAGGTCAATTCCGCAGGAATGTTCATGAGGTAGAACAGAGCGCCCTGTGCAACCTCAACAAATGTTGAAAGCACTAGGGGAGCCACATCCGGAGACGAGCAAATTTCCTACAGAGCAAATGACACTATTTAGGCACTTGAGAGTAGATTAGACTTTTGAAAGGGGATGCCTTAACTAACTCGAGATAGGGGACCCACGCAGATACTGAGAATATTCGTGAAGCTCCCAAACCACACAAACCGAGGAACATCATCCACACCTTCGGTGGAAATTTTCAGCCTAGGGAGTAGGAATATACGATGCACTGAGTCGCGCATAATACCGCACAAAGCACGAGATAAACCCCGCATGATGGCAAGAGAAGAGATGAAGAGAGTTTTGTATTGATCTCGGCTATTTTGGAGGGCACTGCCCGATGTTAGAGGCTCCAATGCAGTGCACACCTCGGATAGCATCTAAAGTAAGACACGCGCGCGCGTGCGCGCAAGAGAGAGCATTAGGAGTTTAAGAGGGAAAAATACCTGATGAAAAAGATTTTCGCCGCTGGTGCCTCCAGGGGCATTGCGTAAGAACCAGGCGCCTTGAGCGCAAGCATTGATAAAGTCGATGAAGTTATCCATGGGGATATCAGTGCGTTGAATGATTGCAATCATGGCCGAGCACAATTTTCGCCACAATTCAACCAACTTGGGCAAATCTTCATTGATCGCTCGAGACCTTCTGGATAAATTTAAAGTGGAAGTTATTTTTCGTGAAAGCGGCAGGAGAAACAGAAATAATAAAAATTCGCATCAATTAAACAGTTTGCTTTAATGGTTAAAGGTGCATTCACCTTCCTAATGGTAACGGGGTCGAGTACTGTATGAAGATATCAAACCAAAAGACTGGGTTAACATAGAATGGGATTCATTTTAGATGCTTGGAGAATGTCTCGAGGTTGAAATGTAGAAGAACTTTGGCGACAATCCGGGAAACTGTCGCAAAAAATGGGACAAAGAAAAGTGATCTCGTGACGTTAACCACTGCGGAACCTGCACACATTTTGATAGGTTATTTATTCGATTTAACTCTAAGGCTGCACTGAAGATATGAACTTGGACATGTGCCACAGGGCTTTTAGTAGAAACTCATTCAGGAAAAAAAGAGGCCAGATTGGAGGATCTCAACCTTGAAACTGCTTCACTTATGGCTGAAGCTCTTCTCCCTTTAATAAACTTTGAAGAAGGTTCCCATGTGGAACCCAGCTGTGGTTTATCAAAACTGGATGTGGGGATTATAAATAACACCTTTACCCCTCCATTTCAAAAATCCGCCTAAATTTGTCCGATTGACCCCAAACCGACCAAATTTATGAGACTCGGTGGCTGCGTCAGTCCCATTAAGAGTTACATAGCTGTAAATTCGTATTAGCTAACGAGATTATTGACCAAGAAAGCAAGAAGCTACCAGAGTTGAAATGTTGTCATAAGAGGAGGAGGAGGGGGGGGGGGGGGGGGGGGGGAAGAGAGAGAGAGAGAGCAAACTAGCCTTCCTATGAACGGCAAAGTATGACGAGCAATCACAAGAAGAAGCATTTCGGTCTGCTTGACAATACGCGGTTCTCCGGACCAACGTTCAAGAATGCCAATGGTTGACGCAGTGAGAGAAATAGCAATATTGACTAAAGCCCGCTTGAGACGATGGAATTCGTTAGGTGCAGGCTGGGGTGGTAGGAATATCTTTGCCCAAAGGGAGTGGCAAGGAAGACGCTTATCCTGAAACAGACACAGAGGATACATTAAAGTAAAGTGATAGAACAGTGGTTTAGCTCCGATTATCTACCTGAAAGTGGAAAGCGGATTGCTTTCAGAATTTGAACGGCAACTTCTGACATTTCAAAGTCATAATATTCTCATACCTGATGCGAAGTCTAACCCTAACCTCTGTTAACTATCCGCGCGTGAATGACACAGGATCGTGTGACAAAACATGCAGCAGGAAGGTTATCTGGTTCGTCAGAACTTACCGACTACCCCTTCCTGTGCACTACCACTACTAACCTGGAAGTTATGTATCTTGTTAGTTACCCTATTGCATTGATGCAAAGTTTACCAAAGTTAATTTACATCGCGTGCCTGGATATATGAACCAATTCGACGTAAGCACATAAATCTCCCCCCCCCATTGCCTATTTAGAATCATTTTCACATCTCAAGGTTAAGATAGGCAGCTGGGACTAACACGGTCTCAAATAAGTCTCAAAACTTTTGACTCATCTAAACTTACCAATAAACAATCCTCCACGTATGATCTGAACGAGAAGAAGGTTAACCCCAAACGAGTAAAAATCCAGCACATGTCCTCAACCAAAAGTTGGGGGGTGGAGTCACTTTTAATTAATACGGCCATTAGTTGAAATAGAACTCGGAATATTCTGGAGGGAAAATAGAGACATTGATGCATATCGGTATGGTCAAGCAAGTTGGCTATTTAACAGCAAAAAGAAGTTAGCTTACTTAATGAACGCGGGTATATTGCCTAAGTCATCACATTGCCAGTCAGTAATTGAGTCAATTAAGTAATTATACATAGTGGCGATCTCGTTATCATAATCGAGGTTTTCAGCATCGACACGGTAGGCACAAATTTCCTAGATAAGAGTGAAATAATTTTATAAAAAATGTTTACTGAAACAAAATAAGTAGAAGAGACATGTTAAAATTCCATAACCTGCTTAGTCCCGTCAGCAATTGTGGCGCTTTAGCAAAAAAAGCACGCTTTCATCTTATCCCACATTCGGTATTTAAGTGTCTGCCTTTTTTCTTTACGTCAACCACACACTAAATAATACTCACATATTGGCTCGAGAAGGATAACATATAATTAATCAAGGTTACGATAGTAGTAACCGGTCTAGCACCAATACTATAGGCAGCTTCAAGTGAGTCTACTTCCTGTCTTGAATTGAATATTCAATAGAGGAAAAAAATTGTTTCTGAAAATGAACTATCAAAACGCCAACGAAAAACTCAAAATCGATAAATAAATTGACCAAAAAATGATTGCATTGATTCATGAAATAAATCAA